CTCTAAATATTATAATCAATTCATGGCATGGAATATTCCTGGCAAGAGAGCATATTGAAAAAACAGGTATGCATAATTCATTGAATCATCAAACTTGGTAGAGAAAATCAGCAGTAGAAGCTCTAGCTATATTATACAGGATAATAATAATAAAAGGCCCTAGCACCAGGTTAAAAAGCAAGCGATATACATATGATATGCGCTTCCAGGTAGAGGGGAAAACAATCATAGACTAGTGTGAAATGACTGGAAGCTCTGCCTGGACAAAAACGTACATATATGTCTATATTATATATCTAAATATATATATGTTCCCCCCTCTCTAAATGGAAAGATAAATGAACAAATTCATAAAGATATAAAGATAGGTTCATACGTATAAACCTAATCTAGAGATATTCAATCATCTGAAACAGAATCACCACCAAGGCTAAAAAATAAAATACTGAAATAAACACTAAATAAAATCATAATACAGAAATAAGTTGGCAATTGTGAAAATATCTATTGATCAGCTATATAAAACCTAGCAACAAAATCAGCAGTATGTCATCAATCACACTTTTGGTCCCAAGTGGATATATATTTTCCTTTACTGTATAACTCAACATGCAACTAAACAATCACAGAGAATGATTTTAATCAATAGTCGTACGTGAAATTCTTTCACCAAATACAAGACTACCTCTATAGCAGTGTATGATCCTGTTATGAAATGTTAAATTGTGAAGTAAATTTTCCTTTTATACACCTGCATTTATTAACTGAGCACCAACATTCAGGAAGGTTAAAATACTGATTAATCAACTTAAAACATAAAATTTCAAGACTGAAAAAGCATACTATATTCTCTACTTAACTAATATATGAATTTCATGTTCATTTTAATTTAAATGTGACCTTAAATCATGTGACCAACATTTAAGTTTCTGTGGTTCTAAATGTATAAGTACCTCTTAAGTTATTCTTTCGTAAAACCTGATTAAAGAATCAGAAAGCTACAACATAACAAATTTATGTTAATTTTCATAATAACAAAATAATTAAAAGAAAACTGAACACTTCAAAGCCTTTCCTTACAACACAACATTGACCTTTTTTGAAAATAAAACATATGCATAATTCATCACATCCAAAACCATAGTGCGAGCAGCTTTATAAAGTATTTTTCTTGCTTGATTCACCACTTTTATTATATCAATTTTAAAATGTGATCTGCAAGTGTAACAATCATTCTTCCAATATGAAGAATGTTAAACTATATATTAAAATAAATATTACATGACAGATTTAATCATGTGACCCATCATTTGTAGACTGAATTAGCACCAATTAACATGTGAAATCTAAATATATACGTTTTCCTAACTAGGTTACCTTATCAGGTTATCAACTCACTGAAATATCTATCTTTACCTACGCTAAAAGAAACCAAAATCAAAAGTTCACATTTCACTTTTAAAATATTCTTAAAATAATAATCTGCCACAAGCACAACCTACATAGAGAGTGTCTTGTTAAAATTTTGGTACATTCATGTTCAACATCTTGTTCTCATGTGACAAAAAATCTTTACCCTCAAATGGGAAAGGCAGACTGCTTCTGCTGTGACACTAACTCTTATCATAAACCAGCACTGNTAACTCCTATCATAAACCAGCACTGGTCTTATCTACAAGTGTGTATCTTCAAGGAACCCTGGTTCGCCAAGGACGAGTTTACGCTTCTCAACAGCTTCAAGTATTTTGCGACGGGGTCCAAGTGGCACATTCAAATCTCTTAAATCTGAATCAGTCAGCAACATTAATGCTTCCAAATCCACCTTCTCTCTGTTAAACTGGGGGATAAACTCCATAAGTCCATGGGACGCTAAAAATAACTCGAGTGGCGTACACTGCTCATCATCTTCATCCAGATAAGCATCATCTTCCTGCCAATCTGTACTTTTATGATCTTTGGACGTAAGGCTGCTGGCAGTGCCTATGCTGTCTGTGTAGCTACCTTCTCTTTGTTTTCCATTTCCATTGGCAACTTGATCGATCAACTCATTGTCGTCAAAACCATCGTCATCGTCTTCTCCCTGGTGTTCTGGAGGAAGCGACATGGCAGCACGGTTCAAAAATGCCATGTTGCCAAACCCAGGCCTATCAAAAACTCCAAAAGCATTGTTTTTATTTAGGGAGTCTGCGCTATCTACCCCTGAGTCAGCATTCCCTTCTCTCCCCTTCTTGCCTTCTAAACTTATGTTATCGAACAATTCATCAAGTCGCTTTCTATTTGGGCTTGTCATTTGGTTGGTCATATTTACATCTTCCTCGGGTTGTCCATCTGTTTTAGTGTACATGATTTCAGAGTCATGAACATAGCCACCTGTGAGTGACTGACTGGTTCTACGTCCATCTGCCTGCATTCCTCCTATTTTAAAGTTGCCATTGCGTATGCCTTTCTTAGCTTCAATTTTACGAGATGCCCCACCATGAGCACTGTAGCCAACTGTTCCGCCCCGGTTGTTTTCTGTATTGGCAGGTTCTGATCCTTTGTTCAGCTCCTCTTGCACTTTACTTCCTTTAAGTCTTAGAGTCAGCGTCTTGAAAAATGACCTTTTCTGAGCAGGTTCTGGATTTTCTTCAGCATACATTCTTCGTTCTTCTTTTTCTGCCCTTTTTTGTGCCTTGAATTGCAGTTTTTCATATCTCTTAAATCTTTCATCTGCCTCCAGGACTGCTTTTTCTTTCATCTTTTTCACAAACTTTGGGTTTGTTGCCGACTGCTTGGCTACAACTCCATCCAGAAAGCGGACAACATCCATGTGGTTCTTCATGGAGGCCAAGTCCAGAGAGGAGTGATGGTCATTGTCCAGAGCCCAAATGTTGACCCCAAAATTGACCAGGTATGTGACACAGTGGAGGTGACCATTGAAGGACGCATGGTGCAGGGATGTGTTCCCCAACAAGTCACATTTGTCTGCATCACCTCTGTAATAACAGAAAAATAAAGATATCAGACTGCATACCTCCACTGAATTACCATTTTTATATAATACAAATGTAAACAAAAGTACATGCTGGCCATGAATGGCCTGAAATATTCAAGGGTGATTTTCAGGAAGAAAATTAAAAAATCAAATTCTAGTTCCTCAATTTTGTAATAGTTCAATGATATAAAGTAACTATTGGCAAAAAAGATGAGGATGCCTTTCTTTTAATAAAATGGCTAGAGCATTTTATTTGAACACTAGACTACCACTAATGTACCCAAGGTAAAGAAGATGAAAAATAATGTACTAGTACTTGAATTTTAGAACATTTTTTTTGTCTTAAGTCCATTTGTTAAACAAGACCTCAAAGGCACAATAATTCTTCTTTAGGCATATGCTCTTAACAGCATATTGAAATAAAATATTAGGTTAAGTTCCAAAATTCAGTGGCAATATATAATAAAGTTACACAGTGTATATGCCAGTTTAATATATGCCTGCTATTTACATCATACTTTTCAAATGTATGATCAAAACATTGCAAAGGAGTTAAATCATCTAACAGGTAAACAGACAAATCTGCTTAAAATGTTTAATGTGCACAAATATTGTAATTGCCTTTACATCAAAATCATACAACAGTAAAGCATGTTTGCTCTCCATTCTGATCTACATAGGTCAAACGTCCTCTTAAGAAACTGTCACAAAGCAAACTGTGAAAATATTTACTCACAATCATCACTTTAAGAAAAACAATATATATAGCTACCGTATATCAACCATTTTTGTGGTTCAGCCAGTGCTTTAAATGGAAAGACTTAAAATGGAATGCTATTTGATGGTGTGTTATTCAGGGTGTGGCAAGGCATTTTGTATTTACCAGGCTACACTATCTTGTGTAAATACAGCTACATTACACCCAGGGCAAACAGGAATCACCACCAAAAAATACCGTTAACATCCTTGAGACTCTTTTTACACATGCTATGCACCTTCATGTTTAGTATTTAAACCACAAAATGCCTAATTTTGTGGATTTTTCATACACAAAATATCTTTTATATGTATTTTGCCAACATAATATTTTCCTTCACAGATTTTATTTTCTTGCAAAGCGCCTTCTTTTATAGATTTTTTTGCGCATAAAATGTCTTCATTTACTGGCTACACAGTACATTTGTCAGCTTATCAAAAAATACCACTGAGAATGTTTTATGGGGGTTTTGAGTGCAGCTACCTAGATACATGCATATAAATTAGATTGCCACACGCCTGATAAGTAAAAGTTCATATATGTGTCTTATATCACTTAATGTTGTCACAGATCTATGTCATATGGACTACAGTGAGTCAAATGTACCCTCCCATCTATGACACCTGCATAATGTGTCCAAGATCACAATCTGTCTCCGCATTATGACACTAAACCACCTGTGAAACACTAAAATTGTATTATATAAAATAAAATGATCAATTACAACTAACAAGCATTCACAAATTAAATGTTTACAGTGGAGATTTAGGCACCCATATTATAAAGCAAATCAGCAGGGTATCATAAAAACATAAAATTAATTAATTAATTGCTTATTCATTCATTCATTCATTTATTCATTTGGAGGTAGAGAAAGACTGTCAGAAGGAAAAAAATGAAATTTTTGTACATTTTTCACTCCCAACATGCCAGACACAAGCATTTTACTTCTATGTTACCAAGACATTGACATGTATTCTGGCCTAACATGTATCCATAATCGTTATCACTACAGCCGAGTGTCAAGTTTACCACACAGCAATAATCACACTGGCATGTTTTTCATCATCTTAATTCTTAGAACCAAACATCTCCATATTTCTCCATGTTTAAGCTACAGGTATTTCATAACATATCAATAACCATTATTATTTCACAGACTGACTTTCTACATATATAAACTTCCTTTTTATAAATAACTGCATATATAAATATCACCTTAAAGATGTACACTCATAGTAAAATAAACCTTATCCTATTTAAATTCAAGATATCTTTAGCAGAAAAATTAATTTCATTGTGTCTTGTCAACAATGAAGTCATTATTGCTATCATTCACTAATCACTAACAGCTGATTAACTCAACAGGCTACGCACTTTAGTTTTACAAATGACAGCTCATTCCATTTGCAGAGGGCAAGTGGTGCCGTAACTGATTTGATATCATGTTAATAGCACTTGACAATATGCTGGGGGCTTGCCCAGGTGTTAAGTTGGTGAAGGAGAGGAGACAATGACTGGGTTCCCATAAACCTATCATACTAGCAGGATCTATCTAACTCCGAGCGGATTCTCACTGAACTGCGTTCAGTTTAGGCGGCTTAAATGTCTGTCAAGACCACTGAAGCTACTAGGGGGATAATTAACTTTCATGCATGATTTAACTGAATGCAATTTGGCAAGTATCAAGTATTTTTCAAAAATATCTTCCAAGCATAAGGCACAAATTTTCAATATGCTGTCAACAAACCACTAGTGGTTTTTTAGTGAATGACTAGAATATCAAACTGCATTACCATAAGGATAATCTGTATTATCTGATAGCTATCACAGATGATAAATTGCTATTTATAAATTTACAACACTCATATTATGCCCACCCATAATCCACCTGTAGACAGATTTCCTTATTTTGATATAGTATATTGTACAATAGTAACTTTAAAAGACAAGGGGATCAATTTTGTATAAAAAACAGTGATTAATAAGGATAAGATAACCTTTAAGTAAACATTAAGATACCTACACTTCATTAGATATAGCCAAAAACACCGTAACTTGACATCTCACAAAATAGCATGACAGGAAAGTAGCCGTCACCCAAGAATTCTATTATGGGGGAAAAAAGCATACATTTATATATACAACAAGACTTTTAGTAGTGTTTAAATGCATAAAGAATGTGAAATTCATATCTATAGTACATCAAGGGAAAAACATGGCAATTATCTCTTTAATGGAGTATATTGCATCAATTATATGTACCCCTTGCCCTTAGGCATTAAGAAAAACATTGCTTATGCATTATCTAATTAAAGGGGTGTGCATTATTCTATCAAATATGCTTCCAATAAATATGTCAGTCCTTACTTAATGCTTACATTTATTTTCCAACATGCCATTGTAACTCAAATACACGTACAATAGTGCAATCATGACATTATAGACAATTTTTTCTTTGGTTTCGAGATTTAGCAGAAATTTTCATTTCATCAAAAACAAATAAAATTTACACATGTGAAAAGTTAAAGAGTTTTTAACATGGTCTTTTGGTGAAATTTTTCATTTTCCCATTTTACACACACATACTTCATTTAGGATTCTTACAAGTGGTTAATAGAGATGTATGGAAGTGATAGTTCCAATGGCAGCAGCTGTTCATACTATAATACTTCAGTGTCCCCTGGGGCACAGGTTTACATAATGTCTCACACTGTCCTAATAATAAAGCCTTGGGCCAAATCTAAATCCCCTTTATTGACAGAGAAGCAATGCCAGGTACATGTTTCAAGACCTAATTCTTTAAAAGCATCTCACTCAGTGAGAAAACATATATCATAGGGGTGGCAAATTGTACAGCAGACAGAACCTGTATTTTGTCACTTAAACATGTGCTATCTAGACATTTGAGATAAAGCTCAAGACACAGACATACCTGTATAAAATCAATAGACACTTTAACAGAGAAAATGTTATCACAACCAGCTAAACATACGTGTATAATGCACTATGTGAGAGACTGGACTTGATGAATAGACAGCTATGTAAAGAATTCCTTACGGCATATAAAATGGTCAATCAAGCTAAGGAACCTTATGGTGAAAAGAAACACAACATCTATTTAAAGGTGTAAATGTATATACTTTCATAACATTCTTTANCATGGTCTTTTGGTGAAATTTTTCATTTTTCCATTAAAATACACACACATACTTCATTTAGGATTCTTACAAGTGGTTAATAGAGATGTATGGAAGTGATAGTTCCAATGGCAGCAGCTGTTCATACTATAATACTTCAGTGTCCCCTGGGGCACAGGTTTACATAATGTCTCACACTGTCCTAATAATAAAGCCTTGGGCCAAATCTAAATCCCCTTTATTGACAGAGAAGCAATGCCAGGTACATGTTTCAAGACCTAATTCTTTAAAAGCATCTCACTCAGTGAGAAAACATATATCATAGGGGTGGCAAATTGTACAGCAGACAGAACCTGTATTTTGTCACTTAAACATGTGCTATCTAGACATTTGAGATAAAGCTCAAGACACAGACATACCTGTATAAAATCAATAGACACTTTAACAGAGAAAATGTTATCACAACCAGCTAAACATACGTGTATAATGCACTATGTGAGAGACTGGACTCGATGAATAGACAGCTATGTAAAGAATTCCTTACGGCATATAAAATGGTCAATCAAGCTAAGGAACCTTATGGTGAAAAGAAACACAACATCTATTTAAAGGTGTAAATGTATATACTTTCATAACATTCTTAACCAACACAAGGCAGGTCAAAACTTCTCCAATGAGTGGTTCTCCTGCGAGTTGGAAGGGGTCAGGGGTTAGAGGGTTGGGAAAACCTTTTAAAGACCAATAATGGGAAGATCTATAATAAATCAAGTTGAAGGAACTGAGAGAGAGAGAGAGAGAGAGAGAGAGAGAGAGACCTGGCCACCCAGAGTGTCAGAGATACACTGTAACTCATATAGTATATGTATGTCTCTGCTGATTCCAGTTATTTCTAAAATTAAGGGCTGGTTTCATAAAAGAACCTTTGCCAAAAATCTGTCTGAACTTTAACATCAAATATTTGGTCCACTCCAGTTCAAAAATTCATTGTAGTAGTTTACTTAAATAAAGTACTAGTAGGTGCTGGCCTGAAACATTAGATATATATTTTGTGGGTCGAAGTGGAATAAAAATTTAACATTCAAACCCCCTCCCTCCTCCAGTCCAGCCTTCCAAACTACAGTAGCCTGTGCATCCCATTTATATCTTACTGTGACTGTTCCTTTAACCAACAGTTAAAATCAGCCTCAACTAACTGACTTAAGTTGTTGATTAAATAAACTATCATAGCAAACTTAACTGACTGTTTCACAAAGCTGATGAAATTCTTTAGAAGACACTCAAGCTTGTTATGAAGACATCTAGTAGTCAACTTCATCAGAAACAGGAAGCTTTCATGTTAAATGCACCATATAGGTGTTACGAGACAAGATAAATGGTCAAGTTAAGTACTTTGGTCAGCGAGGCCCATATTGATTGTCCAAGTCACACAATAAAGTCACACAATCAGACAACAAATAACAATTCAACAAGACATCAATGGACTGGCTTCTGGTCACTTGGACCTTTAATTATGAAAAGAAATTCTTCTAAAAAGTTGGGAAATATAAAATGACTAAAACAGACTCCTCCAACAGAGTTGTTTGTTTGAAAATCAAATGACCTGGGGGAAGAAAAAAAAGCATCACCTTAAAAATTGACACTTGAAAATTTGTGCCTTTTTTAAATGCCCAATATGACAATGAAAACAGAAAGACACTAGCTTTTGGACAAATACTTAATTATATACATGTACATGCAAGCACTTTATTTCAACCAAAACACAAAGTGAGTGTGTGTGTGTGTGTGTGTGTGTGTGTGTGTGTGTGGAAACTTCTGATAAAGCTGATGATGACCAACTTTAACATATGTGACTAATCCCCTTGGATTTAAACTTGATAGTTCCTCCTCAAGACAAACATCCTTAATCAGAATTTGGATATTACACCAACACCTGGGACGCTGTAATACTAATTTATGTTTAATTTCACGGTTTGCCACTGCCAAGCAAACAGAGAGAATGAGAGAGAAAGAGAAAGAGATAGAGAGAGAAAGTGAACTAAGATTTTAAGGAACATTGTATAGCCTTGGATACATACTATTCCCAGCCAATATCTTAATCATATCTTTGCATGTTTATTACTCCAGTGGGAGCTGACAGCTTCCAGATAATCATCAAGATCTTGAATTATTAATTACATGACAGATGATACCCAAGCTTACCTACACTGTGACCTGGTGTTGTTCAAGTGACACCACAACATGTATTCAAAACACCATATATCACTGACTACTTGGCTACTTCCAAGGTGTATTTCATACAGATTACCTTGGGTCAGTTAAACAAGAAAAATTAAGACTGAAAGTGGGTTTTAACTTTAAGTACTTAACTTTGAGAAAACACTGGGAACAAAAAGGACAAGAAGTTGGACTTGTTAAGACCAAAATTTGCAGTCTAATTTTACTCAGAATAAATCATTGGAAACCTACTTGAGAATATTGCACCTTTTTCATGAGCAGAAAGAATGATCAGTATTTAAAAACAATATAGTAACTTTGACTGATCTTCATTGGACTTATCCTGAACTGAAGAAGACCAATAGTCACTTTATTTAAATAGATCACTACAGATTTTTGGCCTTAAAGTTAAGACCAGCTTCAGGTCAAAAGTCCTTTGTGAAACCCACCCCTGCTTAATAGCCGAGGCATGTGTAATCCATGCTCACCTAGCCCTACACTACAGACACCTGTTGTTCTTCTAAATTCAGTTTACACAACAGGGAGGTGTAAGATATACAAGTCACACAGACTGGAGTTAATCATTAAACAATCTCCTTAATCACATGCTTGGTTGTATTTGAGAGGTTGGGGGCGTGTGCATGGTTGGAAACTAATACCAAGAATACCTTTGAATTCAGGGAATTTTCCTTTAAATTAATATAGATCGATCTATAAATGAAACTTTACAATGACAAGAAAAAAATAGGAACACCAACTAGAAGTAAATTCCTTTCAGGTTCCAGATTTATTATAAGATTATTTGTTTTTCTTCCCATTTTGTATGTACTTACTTTGCATGTGTATGTGTGGGGGGAGGGGATATTAGCAGGATAAAATTAACCATGCTTGCCATTTTCATGAACAACTCAGTAAAGACTACAAAATAACTTATTAAATGTAATATTGCAGCAACCAAACCTAATCAATCCCAGCAACATAAAGCTTTTGCTTAGAATATTGAATAACAGAGAATATTTACACACCAGGTCATATTTTCTTTGTGACTTATATCTTCCAGTCAAAATCCATGATACAAGAAGAGTTGAACCAGTTATTATTTGCTGACCTTTCTAGCCAATTACCCCTCAAATAGAATCTGTGATAATCCTTGTCAACACAGCACTCTGTGCGTCTCTATGCTTTAATACCCTATTCAGAGGCTGGTCTAAGCATAAACTATAATAATAGTTTATGCAGTAAAATTGCAGCCTGAGTGTTGAAGTTGTAGAATGTTAAAAGAGTACATGTACTTGATAGGTAAAATTAAATAAGGTAAGAGCTTATATGTTAAAACTAAGGTTTCTTATACACTTGAAAGGTAACACGAACATTCAAAAGACAATTACTAGTATTTATAAACCCAGCAATTTCAAAGGGCCGTTAGCCTGTTAGTTTGAAAGAGTAGAGCTTTTAACCAAGAAACCTATGTGTGTTCATAAGAACCCAAATCAAATTTGAATTTAAGACAGAGCTGATTCTTTTTAACCCCCCCCCCCCCCCACACACACACACACATACACACACAAACATACAAATATCAGTACGGCCATGAGATGTACCTCTATTGAGTCACCTCTATTTGGTCAAGATTTTTTTTATCAAATTCAAGTTAAATTTATCTGTTTATGGCAAATATTTGTGTTTGAGAGATAGAGCAAAGTTATTCAGAAATGGTTTCAAAGAGCAAGCAAGATCCTAATAAATTCTTAGAATATCATGTCCAAAAACTGTTATCTTTTCAATGACATGTGAAGCACCATAAAAATGATTAACTGATCTTGGAGAAAACATAATTCTCAATGATTCAGGTTCACTATGATTTTACATTACCTTAGATGTTAAGAAGACAGTTAAATTGCATGAAAGCATGAGATATATACATTTATATACTAGTACATGAAAACAGAACACCCTTTTTGGTTTAATAGTTTTAACACATCATTCAAATTTACTCAAATTCATAATTTAAACAATTACCTTATTTTCTACTATAATTTTACTAATACCTTGTTGTTGAAATTGTTTTTGTATTACTTCTCCAGCCAAGGGTTCTAAGGTCTAAGACTGCATTCACAACCTGTTAATCCATGGAATAACAGATCTGTGGATCAAATATGGCCGTCCCACTTGAAGGCTTGTTGCATAACCCCGTAAGGCTGCATTCAGAACAGTGGACTAACTAGTCCGCAGGTCAAATATGGCCGACCCACTTGAATACTGTCTAAATCTATTCAGTGACCATTAGCGAATTAGATGGCAAGCTTTTTAGTGGGTTGCCATATTTGACCCTCAGATTAGTTAGTCCACTGTTCTGAATGCGGCCAAATAGACACTGAACAGATTTGTCACTTGCAAGTGGGTCAGCCATATTTGATGACTGGATCTGTTTGTCTCCCAATCAACTTTGATTGTGAATGCAGCCTTAGACCCTGTTCCCATACTTACATTGATCTAGCAGGATCGACCCATCTCCGAAGGGTATCTCACTAAATTGCTTTTAGCTTAAATGGCTCTGATGTCTGGCATGCCTACTGGAGCTATTAGGGGGTAATTGACTATCCTTTAGCAGCTTCAGTAGGCATGTCAGACATCTGAGCTGCATAAGCTGAAAGCAATTTAGCAAGAAACCCCTAAGAGTAGGGTCGATCCTGCTAGATCGCTCTAGGTATGGAAATGGGTCTAAGTGATTATCGGTTAATTAGATCAACATGTTAGATATGGTATATCCAATTATATTACCAGAAACTTACTTAATTAATTTTCATGGCTTGAGTTGCATATCATGACTTTCCTTGCATTTGGAAAGGCAATCGATCATTTATCCATCATTAACGATGTATTTTGCCTAGTTTACAACATTCTTTATATGGAGTACAGTTTTCAAAATGTAAATTCATTCTCAACAATGCAAAATTATTCTATTTATCATAGATATAAGAAAATTTGAAGATATATTTAAAAGTTTGTTTTTCTTTTCCGTTACTGTTGGGAGGGGCCCTCTTGACATGTAGCTGTATGAACTGGTTGCATGCTTTAGGTGCTTAGATGTAATCAAACTGGCTAGATATGTGATTTGAATTTTGTAGCCTTCAACAAAAATAACATTTAAACTTCTATAATTGAGCAAAGTAAGCTAGACCTGTTTCCTCGATGTAAGTCTAGTATCTTATTCTCTCTCTTTATTTTTAAATCTTATTTCTAAATACTTAAAGAACCTACAAAGAATTCAAAATTCAGAACTTTGGGCTATCAGAATATACATGCACTAGTAGATGTATTTAAAACACACATCATACAGCACAATGATTCAAAATTTTGAAAATCAGAAAATTATCTTACTTAACCTAAAAAAGATTTAAAAGTATTTACCTTAAAAAGTTTATTGTAAATGAGCAAAAATGGAAAAAAATAAAAAAGTCTCTAGTTTCTCAAAAATGTTTTGCAATTTTAAAGGGGTCTCCAGAAAATATCTAACCTACTCAGCTACTTCTTCATCAGTCTATGTCTTCGAAAGTCAATTAACATGGTTTTGTTGACTGTCAATTAAGATAATTGATTAATTAATAATTAATTAAACAAGGTAAAATGTCTTGTCCGTTCCACTTTCCAGACAAACACGACCAAAAAGACTTTGAACAAGAGATACATAATATAAAACACATCCTATTTATAAAAATACTGTCCAAAACAAATTGTGGCAGAATCTTACCCTCTCCCAACCAGCAGTCGTAATGCATCCAAGTTGCCGAAGTAGGCGGCCCAGAGTGTAGGGGTCATTCCATCTTCGTCAGGGGTGTCTGCGTCTTTTCTGGTAGCTTCTCTGAGTAAATCCAAATAACCGTCTCTAGCCGCTTGGTGGAATTTGGTTGCCATATTTAAAAGTACTCGTTTTATCACATTTTAAAGCAGATAAACCATCCCCTACACGAGCGCACTTGCTTTCTAAACTTTCGAGTTTTGACTGCTGAAGGGTTGTAGCTAAAACTTGGATTGTATATATGAGAAGGCGAAACGATCACATTTGCATTCCAAGTCTTTATTGTGTTTCCCATTTTTTTAAATTATCAACTCACTCGAACCAATAATTTATTAAATAATTACTTTGATGCTCCATACACATAACTGTTTTATACTACATTTGTACTTTTTTTTTTTACCAGTGGGCTAAGCGACTCGCTCAGTGGCCATGTGACAGGCTGCAAACATGAAAGTTGTCATACGTGCCCTGTGTCTTTGTGTTTGTTTTCTGCAACAATGTTTGGGACAATATCAGCCCAACTGGGACTCCTTAGACAAAAGACCTCTCCCATCGTGGTATGACGAAGTGAAAGTGGGTATCTTTATGCACTGGGGCGTATTTTCGGTGCCGAGTTACCACTCCGAGTGGTTTTGGTGGTATTGGAAAGGAGCGAAGGACACCGATCTGATCAAGTTCATGCAAAGGAATTACCCACCAGAGTTTACTTATGCCGATTTTGCACCGTCCTTTAAGGCCGAATTCTACGATCCTAACCAGTGGGCTGACATCTTGCAAGCATCCGGGGCAAAGTAAGCAAATGTTCACTTTTCTAGCAGTGTACTGAAAGGGGGAGTGATTGATTGTGTTAGAGATGATCAATGTCCACTCCAAGCAATTTATGAAACATAAAAGGCCACCATCACGTGAGAAAATGCTCAGTGTCAACCATGGCTCTTTCTTATGCTAGGCTTGGGTTTTACATAGTGCTGTTTAGCTTTATAACCTTACAGTCCATTGATAGCAAATTTGCACCAACGTGGGATTCGCTGGATAAAAGACCCCTACCACAGTGGTTTGATGATTCTAAAGTAGGAATTCTAATATGCTGGGGAGTATATTCAGTCCCAGCTTGGGGAGGATGGGGCGCAGAGTGGTTTTGGTGGTGGTGGAAAGGTGCTAATCAAACTAAGTACATAGATTACATGAGCCAAACGTACCCACCCGGTGTCACCTTTCAGGATTTGGCTGCCTCTTGGAGAGCACAATTGTATGATCCCAATGAGTGGGCAGACATATTTAAAGCAGCAGGAGCAAAGTGAGTATAAGACTGCATTCTCACAGATTTTAGATTGATCTATCCTCGTGGGGAGTCTCACTAGATTACTGTCTGCTTAGCCGGCTTATATGTCTGTCCCGCCTACCAAAAGCTGTAAGGGGATAATTAACTTCCGCGCGCGCTCGGCTGACAGCAAATTAGCGTGAACCCCCAGGGAGTTAGGTGGACCCAGATGGATCGATCTAAATCTGTGGGAATGCAGTCTAAGACCCCTTTCTTGTAGATACCACCGGTCTACGTAGATTGATCCACCTCTGCAGGAACTCTTGCTCAATCATTGAGCTATGTTTTATACACATGTAGGTGAGACCCTGATATTGCAGGTGCAATCAGCATCCTTTTTCACATAAATCTTTATGTCTTTTACTTTGTCAAGTCAACGTCCTCATCAACCAGTCGGAGAGAGTGAAACAATTTGTGTGTCAATGTATCATGTAATTGAATGCAGTGATGGCCTTATGCTGTAGTTCTGATAAGAAACCCAAAGTGAGAGAGTACTCAGCTGCAATGATTGTTGCAGGTAAAGGCCATAAAACATATAAATTTTACATTAGGTTAATTTCCTGTATTGGTATTGCAAATGTATGGTGTTCTATTTTAAGGTGTCATAGCTGCTGTCTGCATGATGTGCATTTTTTGTTAAATGAACCTTTACCTTAAGATGTTATATGAAAATAATTTGTTATTATTCAACAAGATCTTTTCCAATTTAAGTATTTATCAGTGCTTTTCCAGTTGAATGTATACTGTAGTTATAACTGAAGACCAGCATCCCTTATCCCATTTAAATGATGAATAGCTTTTCAGCATAATGTAGAATTTACAACACACTGTATACAATATATGACAATTGTGACTGAATACATATTCCTTATAGTTTAAGGGTATAAGTTCAATATTTGAAACAGTACATAAATCAAATGTGTAAGAGGGTGGGTGGGGTTATGGAGAATTGTAGAGTCAGTTGATGATTTATTTGTTTATACTGTGATTTATATGATTTAGATAAGACAATTGAGAGAGAGAGAGAGAGAACAAATTGTACAGTGTTAACTTAAATTATGTTCTGGTAGAATATATGTATTTTGAAGGAGCATACTAGTATATCTTTCTTTACATAAAGTTTTCACTGTTTAAGCTGACACTGTCATTGTTATTTCAGATATGTGGTGCTCACCAGCAAACATCATGAGGGTTTCACACTGTGGCCATCTAAAGTGTCTTGGAACTGGAATGCCATGGATGTTGGACCAAAGAGAGATCTTCTAGGTTACTTTCATATCATTCATAACAATTATGATTCTTGCTACATCTATTTGTATATTTTAAAACAGTTGGATTGTAAAATAAAATGAATAAAGGCCATTTAATTTAATAAGACAAGAAGAAACATGTTAAAAGTAATAAATGAATTGTAAATGAGGAATAATGAGTTATCTGAAATATATTCTGGCACACAGGATGTTAAAAGAATATTTGTTAACTATCTGACATGCATAAGGTTTTAAATATATAAAAAATTTTCTTAAGTAAAAATGATGGTATAGTTCCTTGTGAGTAGTGTACTACCTGACTGTGCTGTGTATAAGAAAAATGGAAAGCTAACTGCTAATTGGCTGAAATGAGGCTCACTAAGAGCAACATTTTACAAAATTTTAATTTTGATATTTTTATTTTTAGGTGACCTAGCAGTAGCAATTAGAAATAGAACTGACATCCACTTTGGTTTGTACCACTCACTGTTTGAGTGGTTCAATCCTATTTACCTGAAAGATAAGGCTAATAAATTTACAACTCAAGATTTTGTGAAGGTATTTATGCAGTTAATTATCATTTTTATTCTGCTAAATATAATAGCTAGAAGCCATATAATATAGGTAATATAAAATTGATAAACTTAAATGTTGGTTATGCCCATGTCTTTCAGTCTTAAGGCCTTTAATTTAACTTAAAGCCAGTACTTCATTTCAGAATATTTTTAAAAATTGATAATTAGGAATTATTATTTCATATCATTTATTATTAAACCTGCATAATATTCCTAATATACATACACAACGATGTCATGAGAATTTGGTTGGCCATCTAATTTTAAATTACATTCTTGTTATGCCCTCCCCCCCTCCGCAGTGCACCACTAGCAAAGAATGACATAAAACAAAGATCAGTGTGCAACTATGATGAAGATTGTCCTTAATGCACATCACAAATTTGAATTTTTTAATAATTTTTTTCTTTTTAGACAAAAACTGGCCCAGAGCTGTATGAACTTGTCAACAAATATCAACCAGAGTTGATTTGGTCAGATGGGGAATGGGAGGCAGAAGACACTTATTGGAACTCCACTAATTTCATTGCCTGGCTGTATAATGACAGGTATTGTTTATTAGATTTTCACATATTTTCACTCATGAGTTCACATCTAAGTAAAAGAATGCTTTTAAGAAAAAAGTGGGAGCTGTACTGCAGTACAGAATATAGGGGCATATACTTCCTTGTCAAATTTCACAACCTACTATAGGAAAGAGATTTTCATGATGATGTCTAACGTTTTTGCAGGTGCAGACTTATTTAAATTAAAGATTTAAGGAATCGGAAGTTTAAAAAAATTGGCAAGGGGGAAAACTGTAATACACAGTGTTAGTGTATAGCCATTGCAAGCACCGTTTCCTTGTGGACTTATACAGGCATTATAATTCACTACATGTTCGGAATGTTTCATACCTTAATATTAGTTTACACAACATTATAAATTTATGTCTAAGCATTGAAAGTTTGTCAGTAGATGATAATGACTATTCCACTTTGTGACCTGTTTGCAGGGACCTCACTGGTACATATGGTTGTTTTACCTAAGCCATGATGTTTTTGTTTTTCAGCTCTTTTAAAGATACCATTTTAGTTGTAGTAATTAACTGCTGACAGGGATAACATGTCCAAAACAGATTTTAAAAACTGTGTAAAAATATAAAGCTCAGCTTCATGTTAAGTGATTTGCATGATGTCCATTACATAAAGTCTATTGATATTGCATTCCTGTCATTGTATTTCAGCCCTGTTAAAAACAAAGTCGTGGTCAATGATCGCTGGGGCAGTCGCACCCTGTGCAAACATGGAGACTACTATACCTGCCAAGATCGCTACAATCCAGGTAATATTTAGATGTTGGGAATTTGTTAGAGTAATGTTAGTAAACTGTGACAGGGTAAGAAGTGTTGTTACAGTTGTCTAAAGGTCAAATAGATAAAGACAAAATTAAACATGTTTACTCACATATATTTTATTTTTCGTTTAATTGGCATGATCCTAACGTGGATAATGAATGTTTGTTTTTTTATGTACAGACACGTGTCTGTACATATTGCCATCACCTGCGTCTGTCGTCGCCGATGCCGATGCCGATGCCGATGCCGTGCACTTTCCTTGTTTTAATTCAGTTTTTATAAATTGAAGATTTGTATATTGATGAAATACATAACCAATTTTTATCTATAGACAAAGAAGTCATCTACACATATTGTAATAACTTACCTCTGTAGGATAGTTTCTGATATTTTCAAGAAAGGGAACTCATGGTCTAACAAAATGAATGTTTCAGGCAAGCTGCAGAATCACAAGTGGGAAAATGCCATGACAATTGACAAATTATCCTGGGGTTACCGGCGTAATGCACCTCTCAGTGACTACCTCACCATGGTAGAACTGACCACTACAATAGCTGAAACAATCAGGTAAGAAATAATGTTCCTATGGGCCTGTTTCACAAAATAACTTAAGCCTGAAATTTAGCCTTAAAATGAAGTCTAGAATGAAGTCTAAGATAAAGGCAGTAGTAGGGCAATTAAAAGAACTGCACCTTAATACATCAAGAAAAAAGTGGCATATGTTTTAAGTTCGTACCTTTTTATTCAGATCGGTTGCCATGGGTATATCCTAAACAGATGGTGACCCAGTTTTCAGTCTACATGTTTAAATCAATTTTGGGCTTTTCAGTTTCATAAAGTTTTTTTGTGAAACTGAAACCCAGGAGATTTTGTTTCTCGGGCTTCAATGGTTTAATGTTGTCTTAGGCAATGAAATTGGTGCAGGCTTGTGTAAAAATATTGGATGTTTCAAAGTTACTTGTCAAATCAGCTAGTTGAAATTGAGCGGTTGAGAGGAAGAGAGTGGATTTTCAGGACATATTGAAAATAGTTGCAGTTCTCTAACTCATTTCTGATATGATTGACTTATTTATTCATTCATTCACATATTTATTCTTATTAATTTTATTATTTTTATCTTATTGTATTATCTAATTTTTATTTTTCTCAGTTGTGGAGGCAATATTCTGGTGAACATAGGTCCCACTGCCGATGGGCGTATTCCCCCAATTTTTGAGGAAAGACTTCGCCAGATGGGCCAGTGGCTGAAAGTGAATGGCGAGGCCATCTATGGTTCAAAACCTTGGGCATTCCAGAATGATACAGCTACTCATGGAGTCTGGTAAGTAAGACAAGATGATAAATGACCCGATGGTGTGTGTGTGTGTGTGTGTGTGTGTGTGTGTGTGTGTGTGTGTGTGTGTCACACCCAATAAGATTTTATTTCACATATTCATTCAAAAGAAATTGAATTCGCATATGGATTTGAAAAGCTTGAAAATTGTCATAGTAATTATCTATTGTGAGACATGTAAGTTTTAAGATTTTAATTAATTTTATGACTCTATCAACTATATTTGAAATTTTCATTTTCATTTTCAGGTACACCTACCAGAAAGCCACAGATTCTGTGTATGCCATTGTCACAGGTGGAAAGATGCCATTTGGAAAACTGATGCTGGGTGCGCCCAATCCATCTCCTGGAACACAAGTAACCCTGCTGGGATATACCGGAGGACCCTTTCGGTTTGACAGAAATCCACCAGGGGGCATTGCTATCGATGTCCCAGCAATACCAGCAAGTCAGATGCCGTGTGATTGGGCATGGACTTTCAAGTTCACCCAGTTGGCAAATTGATGACATAAGTTGCTTAGGCTCTCACTGCAGCCAGATCATTTTGATGTAAATGCATAAATCTTGTTACCTGAAATCATTTGAGACTACAACCAACCAGATTTTTCCAATCAGTTGAGATACATTAAAACTTGTCAGCATTGGTACATGTATAAGCATAAAAATGTTTAATTGTCTTTATATTATAGTTAACTGAAAAGCATAATCATTCACAGTTTCCTCTGTGTTAAAGCATTAGGGATTTATCTATTTATGTATGAAAGCAAATCAACCAAGAAGTATATAATATTGTTAATCAGATGAATCTCTGCATTAAAAGCTGCAGATTCCTCTTTGGCAGTCGTACAGCTGTTGGCAGCATACAGCTGTGTTTTTGCAACCTCTACATGTACCGACATGAATGTTAGACAGCAGATTTATGTATAATTATTACCATTTTATCTTTTCATAGCGTATTGCTATCATTGATTTACAAAAAGGATAGATATTACCTCGAAATGTGTTGCTCAAATGCACATCATGTAACTTATATTGTAGAAATTGATGTGTACTACACATGGAATTGTAAGGTTTTAATTTTGATATGCAACTGGTGTTTATATGAATTTGATACAGGTGTTTGCTACTATTATGATGAAAAAATTATGAACAAAACAAGAGCTTGTGATATAAAATACATTCCGTGCAATGTTTGTATGAAAATAATGGATATTAATAGTTATCTGAAACTGACCTTCGTTTCTGAAGAGTTACTGAAATATAATAAAGGATATAAATCCAAGAGAAATAATTTCATTACATTGTGTTATGTAATACAATACATCTAAAGTTTAATACTTTACAATTTTCTAAATCATGGTTTGTAAAATTGTTTTCAAGTCAAGGGGGTTGAACTCCCAAGAAGAAGGACATTGCTAGTCCTGGTATTTTGACTACACAGTACACTCGAAATAATACGTGAAGAGAGAAACTATGTATCTTGGCTTTCTTCGTCCCTAATGTTCTACAGGTGCTGAGCTTTCGAGAAAATTAATTATTGATAACCATATCTTTAAGCAAATGATAGCATTTAAACTTTTTCACTGTATTTTGTTGCATTTCCCTTGATTCGTCAAAATTTAACACCTTTTAGTTTTGACAAAATTTCGGTTTCAAGATTTTTATCAAACCTGCCTTGTACTGTTTAAACATTGCACGTCCTAGATAGACTGACAAAAGAGGCATGTACTGTGCACTTCTCTCTCTTTATATAACAAGGAGGCCTATGGATCAGGGTTAACAACGCCCGCAATAAACATTTGTCGAGGCACGCAGGCGCATTTCTTTATTATTGTTGTTAAGGATAAAGATTTAATCTGTCTGACAACGGCCGAATATAGAAAACTGGCTGACCCAGATTTCCACTGTTCGGTGACGTGATTGATTAGTTGAGGCGAATCATAAACCAAGATACCGGGTATCTCTGCCGATGTCTAAACACGTAAGGACACATTCATGTTTGGTTTTCACAGTTACAATTTATCTCTAAGGTTGTTTTATTTGTTATCTGATTTGAATGCCACACAGTTTAATGTAACGGTAATTTTTGTTTACTTTCGATTTGCCTTTCGTTGCAGGCGAAGTACGCCATTCCTCTGTTCTGCGTTGGACCTAACATGCAAGATGGTGATTGTATTGAAACCACGGTAAAATACGGTGTTTGCTCCAGGAATGATGTCCGATTCACACTCGCTCTTGGACCAGGGGTGACTTGGTGGAAAGGATTGATCTTGTTTCGGAAACACGAAAGAAACAAGTACCAGGTGAGTGCAATCGTTCAAGAGTTGTAGGTGTACATATATGTGTATGAATTGGCTTAAAATTACGTACACTCTCCTTGTTTATCTTTTTCATTGTGTTTTTTTTTT